GGTCCAGACCCCCTCCCTTTTATTACGAAATCTGGAGTAGATTTTACCGCAAAATGGAATTTCAGGGTTTTTGGCAGGGGCGAGTGAGGGAGGTCGGCATTGTTCCTGGTCGGTCGCTGGTCGAGTGGGGGAGGGGGTGCTTCTGAATAAGTGGCAGTGGTAAACCCCTCCCCGACGGGGAAGAATGGGGTTTGGCAGAGGAAGCGCGTTAAACCACCTCTGCTCAATGGCAGGGTTCGCATGGCGCCGCCGCGCCCATGTCGGCACACCCTCACACGTTTCCTGGTCCCATAGGGAGCTGCCCTTCTTTCGTCCCACCTGCCTTGCGGTACTCGCATCTGCATGTGGTTGGGTCCTTCGCCAGGGTAGCAATCGTTTTTTTGGTTCCCAATTGTCCTGTAGTGTTCGGTCCTCGTTTTGAAGAGGCAGCGCCCCGCATCCACTCACTCATCACTCCTTCTCCCCCTACTCCCTCCTCCCATTCCGCATTTTCATCGTCATCGTCATTATCATCGCCATTATCATCGTCATCTTCATCATCATTGCCATCGCCATCATCCACATCATCACCATCATCACCATCATCACCATCACCATCACCATCACCATCACCATCACCATCATCAACATCATCATCATCACCGTCACACGCATCATCATCATGCTCAGCAGCTTCATCATCTTCATCATCATCATCATCGTTATCATCACCACCATCATCATCGTCATCATCACCAGCATCATCATTTTCACCATCGTCATCATCATCGTCACCACAATCATCATCATCAGCATCACCATCATCATCAGCATCAACAGCATCATCATCACCATCATCATCGTCATCACCATCATCATCATCATCGTCACCATCACCATCATCATCAGCGTCATCAGCATTATCTTCATCATCGTCGTCGTCATCATCATCGTTGTCACCACCAGCACCATCACCATCATCATCATCATAATCATCATCATCACCATCACCATCATTACCAGCAGCATTACCATCATCATCACCGTAACCAGCATCGTCATCCACATCAACACCACTATCGTTATTTCAATTTTCACCACCATCATCATCACCATCATCATCATCATCACCATCAGCATCATTATCACCATCATCACCACCATCATCATCATCATCATCATCATCACTGTCACCATCACCATCATCGCCACAATCATCATCATCATCACCGTCATCGTCGTCATCATCAGCATCATCATCGTCATTATCAGCATCATCATCGTCATCATTGTCATCATCATCACCACCATCATCATCATCACCATCGTCATCATCATCACCATCATCATCATCACCATTATCATCATCACCATCATCATCATCATCATCGTCATCACCATCATCATCATCATCACCATCATCATCATCATCATCATCATCATCATCATCATCATCATCATCATCATCATCATCATCATCGTCAGCATCATGCCTCTGCTCTCCGCATGTGCAGCATTTCGGCACACACCCCTCACACGGCTCGTGGCCCCATAGGGAGCTACACCAAAGGCCCCAGTGGCAGGGTCCGCAGGCCCCCCCCCCGCCCATTTTGGCACACCCCCTCACACGGTTCGTGGCCGCATAGGGAGTTCCACCGAAGATCTCAGTGGCAGGGTCCGCATGCGCTCCCGCCCATCTTATTTTGGCACACCCCTCACACGGCTCGTGGTCTCATGGGGAGCTCCACCGAAAGCCCCAGTGGCAGGGTCCGCATGCGTCCGCCCGCCCATGCTGGCGCACCCCTCACACGGTTCCTGGCCCCAAAGGGAGATCCATTAAAAGCGGTTCCCACAACGCGGCATTCGCAACTTGCACGCGGTTGGCTCTTTCGCCATGCCAATTAGGGTTGCCCAAGGGGTTCTTATTTGGTAAACAGTTGGCGCCTCGGAGTGTTACTTTGCCTGTTCCTCGGAGATTCCACGGGTTCCACGGGTTCCACGGGTTCCTCGGGTCTCCCGCCCCAGGTGCCTCCTATTGATACGTTGCCTGTTTCCCAGAGGTTCCTCGGGTACTCTGGGTTCCTCGGGTTCCCCGCCCCTGGTGTCAAGCAATGCCAGGCAATACCAAGCAATGACAAGCAATTCCAAGCAATGCCAAACAATGCCAAGCAATGCCAAGCAACGCCAAGCAATGCCAAGCAATGCCAAGCAATGCCAAGCAATGCCAAGCGCGACCCTCTCCCCTATGTAGGGTCGCGCTCGCGCCGGGTCCATTTCTATAGTTCGATGTGTAATAGCTTACTTACTTACTGTATGCACGTATGTATGTATGTATTCATGCATGCATACATGTGTGTATATCTGATATCTGAATGTATGTAATACATACATGCGTGTATGTTTGCTCGCATGCGCGCATGCATGTACGTATGTATGGGTGTATGCATGTATGTTTATATGCATGCCTGTCTGCATGTATGGTATGTTATTATATCTGATGTTATAATGTGTTATGTGATTATGTGGTATACTATGTCATGTTATGGTATGCTCTGTTATGCTATGTCATGTGGTGTTGTGTTATGTTCTGCTGTACATGCATGCGTAACCACATGTGTATATTTGGGTGTATGTAGGTCTGTAGGTAGGCAGGTCGGTATGTATGTATGCATGCATGACATATGTATGTATGCATGTATGTATGTATGTATGTTTGTATGTATGTATGTATGTTTGTATGTTTGTATGTATGTTTGTATGTTTGTATGTTTGTATGTTTGTATGTTTGTATGTTTGTATGTTTGTATGTTTGTATGTTTGTTTGTTTGTATGCATGTATGTATGTATGTATGTATGTATGTATATGTGTATGCATTGATATATGTATGTAAGCATGCATGCATGTATTTGTGTGTATGTATGTATGCATGTATGTATGCATGCATGCATGTCTGCAGGTATGTATGTATGTATGTATGTATGTATGTATGTATGTATGTATGTGTGTGTGTGTGTATGTATGTATGTATGTATGTATGTATGTATGTATGTATGTATGTATGTATGTATGTATGTATGTATGTATGTATGTATGTATGTAGGTATGTATGTACACGTTTGTATATATTTTCACACTCACATGTACACATATCTACTCGCACACATCCGTTCTCTGAAAGGCGTGGAATGACCGCTTCTTCTATGCCAGCCTGCAGCCGCAGGACTGGTGGCCAGCCGAGCCGCCGCCCACGCTGGCCGAAGAGTACGAAAAGGCGGGACGCGGGACAAGTGGGCATATCGGTTGTGAGCTCAAGCGCGTGTGCGTCATCTCCATTTTTTGTTGCAGGCCTCTGTGCTGTGCCATTTCTTCTGGTCTCGTCCCGACTGCTCTCCACCCTTTCCTTACTTCTCTTCGTTGCAGATTCGCACTCGATGCAGTGCCACGCGGCACATATCGACTTGTCGTGTGCCAGCGCGTTCGGCGAACTTGCGGGAGAGGCAGCCGGAGCGAACAGAGGCTGCCCATCGTGCCGCAGTCTGTGCCTCAGCGGTCCCTGACCTGTGTGATGATAGCACGGCCCAGCGACCCTGGCCTGCTCGGATTGGCCGGGCTTTCAGTTACAGAAGCCACGGGCAACCTGGTAGGTCACCAGGCCATAATTCACCGCATCTCTACATACATCGGAGGTTGATAGACCTCCTGCCCTGACACGTCGATCAGCGAATTTGCTGTTTTCGGTTCGCGAGAGGGCGTCGCGGTCGTCATTTATGCGGGTCCAGGTCTGTTGGTTTCGGTCCTAGGCCGTTTTCATTGAAGGGTGGTTTATTAGAGGGAGGTTTGTCCTCCGCCGAATACCTCCGTGTTTTGGTTGAGGCGAGGGCTGACTTCTGGTTCCCGCGGTGGAGCTCGCAGGGCGACACCTGCAGTCCACGGAGGGTGCAGCACGAGCGGCGTTCCTTGGCCCTCGGAGCCTCAGGGAGACTCGAGGACCGTGCAAGCTTCAGGGTTCATCGATCAGTGCATCAAGCCATTGGTTCTGCGGTGCCTATCGTTACGTGTTGTTCCACGGTGCCTAGGTGCTGCTGGAGTGCTGCCTACGGTCCAAGTGTGTCCTTTGTGTCCGTCCGCTTGCGCCGCTTCAGGTGTGCTGAGGATGCGCGATGCGACGCCCCCGCCGATTTCAGCATGTGGGCTCTGCGTGAAAGCATCATGTTCGCACTTTCTCTTGCAGCGCAGCGCAGGCATGGATGGAGGGGGGGAGGAAACGAGGAGGAGGAGGAGGAGGATAAGGATAAGGAGGAGGAGGAGGAGGAGGAATACAGTGTCGACAAACAAAGGATGAGAAGGACATTGATGAGAAACGCTGGTGGCACTCGTAGCGATCACACCGAATACCTTCAGCTGAACCGTGGCCCTGGTAGCGCTGAGCCTTCGCATGCTCCTGGCTCTGGGAGCCAGGACCCCTCCGTCTCGCTTTGCAAGGGATGCGGCCATGAACGCGATACATTCCAAGTGCTTACGGTGGATCGTGCTTCTTCGGGAGCGGTGCCCTCTGTGCATTACGCGCGGTCGTTGCTTGCCATGAGGATCCAGTGCATTTTCGGCGAATCGTGGCCGTGGATCCTTTGTGCCTGGCACGGGGTCGTGAGGATGGCAGGCATCTCGGGACCTTCCAGAGCAGAGGGCTCTAGTAGCCTTTGAGTTCCACGGGGGATGTGAAACTGCAGAGGGGAGCAGTAAAGGCATGTGACCAGAAGCATCACCAGACAGCATGCTGCAGACTGCACGCATTCTTGGAAGAGTGCCTGACGTGGCCGCTCGTTATTGACACACTCTGAAGGCCTGTTCCGGTGGACTTCGGACCCTTCCGTCTGTGCCATTCCGTTGGGGCATTTGGATGCTGCCATCGGGCGCTTCCAGTGGCACCCTCCTCCTCACACAGTTGCCCCCGCCGCGCACGTGGGACGAGGGGAGGAGTGGACTTGGGTGTCAGACCTGCGCCCAGGGGGCCGTGGAGGAGGCCGCGCGGCCAATCTCAATGCCCCCATTTCCTTTGGTAGCGTTGACTCTTCGTCCGCGCATCGTGTTTCTGTTGAGCTATGAAGTTAGTGGTGATGGTGGCAGTCCAGGGATTCGTGCTTCATGAGGGTCTACTTCGGAAATTTCGTCCAATAATATTTGCTTCAAGCATTCGAGCTGCTAGCATCCGCGACAACAAGCAGCACGCGATTTACATCACGTTTGCCCGCTCCAGGTTTTATCTGTTGATCTGCCCTGCTTCCCAAGCAGTACTTGTATGGTTATTCCCCACATCCAAAGTGGGGTTCTTGTTTTCTCTGCACACCCCGCGCAGGAACACTCACCCCACCCCCTCTCCTCTTCTGCCTTCGCACACACTCACTCACTCATCATCATCACCACTCACTCACACTCACACTCACTCACACTCTCTCATCATCAACATCAGCATCACCTCTCATCATCCTCACCACAATCAATCATCCTCTTCACCACTCATCTTCACCACCACTCATCATCCTCATCCTCATCATCGTTGAGTAAAGTGTGAGGAAGTCTCAGGCGGGAGCCCCCTCCCTATGGGGCCCGCAGATCATGTTGGTAATCCGAGCGGGTCATCGGAACCCTGTAACTGTCGTCACTTTTGGGCTCCCCAGGCCTGAAAATGGAGGAAGTCTCAGGCGGGAGCCTCGTCTGTGAGTGAATTGGGAGGAAGTCTCAGGCGGGAGCTCCCTCCCTATGGGGCCCGCAGATTATGTTGGTAATCCGAGCGGGTCATCGGAACCCTGTAACTGTCGTCACTTTTGGGCTCCTCAAGCCTGAATATGGAGGAAGTCTCAGGCGGGAGCCTCGTCTGTGAGTGAATTCTGAGGAAGGCTCAGGCGGGAGCCCCCTCCCTATGGGGCCCGCAGATCATGTTGGTAATCCGAGCGGGTCATCGGAACCCTGTAACTGTCGTCACTTTTGGGCTCGTCAAGCCTGAATTTGGAGGAAGTCTCTGGCGGGAGCCTCGTCTTTGAGTGAATTGTGAAGAAGTCTCAGGCGGGAGCCCCCTCCCTATGGGGCCCGCAGATCATGTTGGTAATCCGAGCGGGTCATCGGAACCCTGTAACTGTCGTCACTTTTGGGCTCCTCAAGCCTGAATATGGAGGAAGTCTCAGGCGGGAGCCTCGTCTGTGAGTGAACTGCGAGGAAGTCTCAGGCGGGAGCCCCCTCCCTATGGGGCCCGCAGATCATGTTGGTAATCCGAGCGGGTCATCGGAACCCTGTAACTGTCGTCACTTTTGGGCTCGTCAAGCCTGAATTTGGAGGAAGTCTCTGGCGGGAGCCTCGTCTTTGAGTGAATTGTGAAGAAGTCTCAGGCGGGAGCCCCCTCCCTATGGGGCCCGCAGATCATGTTGGTAATCCGAGCGGGTCATCGGAACCCTGTAACTGTCGTCACTTTTGGGCTCCTCAAGCCTGAATATGGAGGAAGTCTCAGGCGGGAGCCTCGTCTGTGAGTGAACTGCGAGGAAGTCTCAGGCGGGAGCCCCCTCCCTATGGGGCCCGCAGATCATGTTGGTAATCCGAGCAGGTCATCCAAAACCTGTAACTGTCGTCAATGTTGGGTTCTCGCGCTGCCAGAACGCAGTTCCCAGGCCACACTTTGGATGCAACAAGGAAGTTTTTGGGCTCCTCAGGTCGCCGAGGTGCTGCGACAGGGCGCCGAAGGCGCCGACGACGACGGCCAGGCCGAGGCGCGGGCGCGGAGCTTGCTGATGTTCAGGCCCAGCGAAAGGGAGTTCACATGGCAGAGCTCGGGGGCGCACAGCGTGCGCCGCTCGGGGTTCACCCTGACGCACGCGTCCTACCTGACCTCCACGCTGTCGCAGGGCCAGACGCTGCGCAAGGGCGTCACCATCGACTGCGCGAGAGACGAGGACGCTGGCCGCACGGGCATGTCGGACGAGCAGTGGTGGCTGCACCTCTACGTCATGTTCTCCCGCGCCACGTGCATGCGGAACATGCTGATCCTGCGGCCGCCGCCGCGAGAGTTCCTGGAGTGCGGGCCGCCGGCGTCCCTGCGGAAGGCGCTCCTGGAGTTCGACAAGAGAACGGTTTTGTCCAGGGCGGAGGCGAAGCAGCTCGCGGCAGAGCTGGGCTTCGTGCTGCCTTCCGCCTGAGCGCGGCTGCGCCTCGCTCGAAGCCCGCGGGGTTGTCCCAACGGCTTGGTCTTGCGCGCCAGCGGCTCGCGGGGTTGTCCCGACAGCCTGGCCCGCGGGGTTGTCCCAACGGCTGCGCGACGTGACCTGTAGAGAACGCGCCTGTGCTGGCCGTGGCGGCGACGGCGCCGAGGAACATCGACATGCGCGCTCATGCAACAGGAAGGGGAGGAGGTGGCGGGGCGCGGAACAAACAGGGGGGCGAGGATGGGGACAACGTAAGGAGTGGAAGGGGGGCCCGCGCCAAGGCGAGAGGAAATATACGCAGAAGAGACAGCCAGGACGCCTCACCAACCACGAGGACGACGGTGATGGCTTTTTCCAGATTCGCCCAGAGGATTCTTATGTGGGGTTCTTCCGTCGGAGTAATTGTTTTGCAGCGACTCGCCCTCGTCTGTCGAATTCTTTGGTCCAGGCCCGAAGGATCCTGCTCATATGACAGCGGTCTCAGTTGCGCTCGACTTTTGGTTCTCAAGAAGTTGTCCAAAAGGTCTCAGCGTGAGCTGCTCTCAAGTGTCGGGTTCTCCTGTGGAACTGCTACAGAGGCACGCACACGGTTTCCCAGTCATAGTCGCCTTCGATGGTTGAGCTCTCTGGTAGCTGCCCAGAGATTCCCTCCAATACGGTCTCGATCGTGGTTTGCCTCCAATGTTGTGTGCTCTAGCAGTTGCCCAGCTGGTCCCATCCATAGGGCCCCGACCTTGGTTCCATTCGCCTCTTGGGCCCACGAGACCTTGTCTCTGATCTTGTTTGTTACGTTTCTTATTAGGCTTCCGTTGATGTGGTCCGAGTCTTCGTTGCCTTCGCTTGTCGGGTTCCGGCAGTTGCCCACAGTGTCCCGCCCGTAGGCTTCCGCCTTTCGTTGCCTTCGAATGTTGGGTTCTCTGGCAGTCACCTGGCTGGTTGCGATCTCCCCCTTAGCCTCCTGTGTCCTTCTCCAGACAAGCGCTGGAAACAAAATCTCGCGCCGAGTGGGTTCTGGATATGACTGCTTGTTTTTGTTCTGCGGTAGCTGCGGTCCTGCCCAGTGGTCTTGGGGCTATTTGATTTCCCGCGTCAGGTTCTCTAGGGGTTACCCGCAGGGTCCAGCCTGTGGTTGCCCTCGATTATTGGGTGCCTCCGCAGCTGCCGACAGGGCCCCGTCCACAGGGCCCCTGCCGTGGTTGCCCTTGACCGTTGGTCGTTCCCCCGTGGCTGTCCTGCCCGCAGGGGTCCAGCTTCAGCTGTTTTCGACTGTGGGATTCCCCAGTGGCTGCCCACAGGGTCCTGCCCACAGGGCCTCGATTCATGTTGCCCTCGACAGTTGGGCTGTCACGAGCGGCGACCGTATCCATGCGCACGCCCTCGCGGTCTGGATTCTGGGGCGCGATCCCGCAGATACGCGATCGTAAGGATACGTTCCGCGCGGGGCATCCGCGAAAAAGCGCCCCTTATCTGAGGGGTCGTGGCCCAGGGGCCCGGCCCGCGAGGCCGCGGATACGGATCAGTTTTTCGCCCACGATGTTGTCCAGCAGCTGCCCCATTGGTCCCGCCTTTGGGTGCCTGTGGTGTTCCGCCCATGGTCAGGAGGGGAACAAAACACACAGACACAAGTCATCGCCCACTCCCCAGAAAATATGGGAAAATATGGGGAATCCTTTTATTTGTCTCTATTTATTTTATTTGTGTGTCCTAGGGCCCCTTCACATGGGGTCGCGGCCTCATGTCGCTGGTCGGGTCCTCTGTTCGCAACCCAGAGTCCCGGAGTGCTCCGCCCGGAGGGCCCCGATCTTAGTCGTCTTCGTTTGCTGGGCTGCCTGGGTGCCTGATATCAGGAGGGGAAAAAACACACAGACACAATTAATCGCCGACTCCCAGGAACAGATGGGAAAATACGGGAAGTGGGGGGAAGACAGAAACTTAGAAAATATGTGAAAATATGGGGAATGCTTTTATTTGTGTGTATTTATTTGTGTGTCCCAGGGCCCCTTCATGATAGTTGCCCACAGGGTCGCACCCGCAGGGGTCTCGCCTCAGTTTCCATCGGCACCTTCACCGCCAGCAGGGGCTTCATATGCAGTCACCAGCTCTCCTGAGGTGGGCTCTCGCTTCGAGTAGAGCAGTGGGGTCGCGTCTCCTTTCTGCCTCCATTCTCCTCTCTTCCCTCCAGCCTCTTGCCTGTTGGCTGCGAACTGCGAAACTGCCGCCCCTTTCGAGGGCTGCTGGGGGGTCCAGCGGTGTGAGGTCTGACGCAGACTCAGATTCGAACTCGTCATGTCTGGGGGGTCGCTGGGGGATCCAGCGAAGTGGCGTCGTACGCAGACTCATATTCGGCCTCACCATCCCTGCGGGGCTGCGATCTGCGAAACTGCCGCCACTTTCGAAGGCTGCTGGTGGGTCCAGCGGAGTCACGTGTTGCGCAGACTCAGATTAGACCTCGCCATCCCGGGGTGTGCGATATTCGGAACTGCCGCCGCTTTCGAAAGTTGCTGGGGGTCCAGCCGGTTGACGTGTTACGCAGACGTAGATTAGACCTCGCCATCCCTGGGGGGGTGCGGAATGCGAAACTGTCGCCACTTTCGACGGTTGCTGGGGTGTCCAGCGGGGTGATGTCTGGCGTAGACTCAGATTAGACCTCGCCATGTCTGGGGGGCTGCGATCTGCGAAACGATCGCCAGGTCCGAGGGCTGCTTGGGGGTTTTGCGGTCTAGCGGAGTGACATTTCACGCGGATTCAGATTAGACTTCGCAATACCTGGGGAGCTGCGATTTGCGAAACGGTCGCCAATCTTGATGGTAGCTGGGGGTCCAGCGGGGTGACG